TATTTTTTTAAAAGTCGTTAATCTTTATCAATTTCCAGTCTTCTTACTGAATTTGGTGAGTTAGCTTACATCTTTAGTTCTGTTAATTAACAAACTCATAGATTTTAAATTTTATTTTATAGCTGGTGTTTATAACTACCAATGTAACATTATAATTTTGAACCCAACTCAGAAAACAAAGAACTCCTGATTTAAGCATAGGGACAAACTGGCCTTCCCGGAGGACTTTTTACAGAACTAATCCACATTTATGTTATGTGGAGAGAAAAAACACGAAAACCTCCCATGGTTACCCGGGGATTCTAACAAATGATCCGTCTAACACCGATGATAATTTATGCCAGTAGATGCGAGCCGGGTGCAGAATTCGTATCAACCTAACGTGGTACATATCACTATATACCATGAGCCTTCACTGTTCAAAATGATACATTGAAGAAAAATTAAATCCTACTAGACTTCGCGTAAATTTAATTTAGAAAAAAAACTTGATTTTATAGTAATAATTGTTACGATCTGTATTAGTGTTATGCACTTTGAACTGCATAATACTGCATTAAAAATTAATAAGCGGAATAAATGTTACTGTTATTAATAATTGTAATTTTTTGCATTTTTTAAGTACTTTAATTTATGCTACAATAATTTTAAGAATTCAAATTTTAAATGATTAGTAATTACTTTTTCCATATTTTCACCACATATTTATAATTTGAATAAATTACAGCTATTAAAACTTTATTAAATGGTATAAAATATTGTCATTAATATCTCTAAATATCATTAGCTAAAATATTTATTATATTTAATTCAGAAGCACTAAATTCCATTATTTATGAAAGCTGCCATAAGCATAAAAACTCTAGGGAGTAATATAAAATAATATAATAAGTATATTTATTGCATGGGGTAAGATAAAGAATTTTTTACCTCTGTTCAAATGTTCGTAATAATAAGAAAAAATATATACTGTATGGTGAATAAATAATGCAGAGCAAAAATATTTATTTAATGTTTTAAATTATGGTAAAATTTCACTCAACAAATTTATGATTAAAAGCCCTTTACAAAAGACAATAAGTGACGATAATAAATTTTGCATTAAAACTTCATTTTTCATAGCATAAAACTAGTTAAATTGATTTTACTTCGAGGCTTTTGAAAAACTATTATAATTATTTTCACGTTGCTTAAACTTACATTGTTTGATAAATAGATGCTCTGAAAATTTTCAAAAACCAGTTATTTTAAGAAAATTAAAATATTTTGAGACAAACCTGCATTAAATTAGGCATAAAATTTCTAAATACTGGCAAATAAAAAGAACTATTGGGTTAATTTTTTTAACTATTTATTATTTCTTTCAAAAAAGTGAACGTCGAAAAAGCCTAAATGAAAACTAAGAAACAAACATAAATTTTGTATTAAAACTTCATTTATTACGATACAAGATATATTAAATGTTTTACTTAGAAGCACTCGAAAAACTATTTTAAATTATCTGTCTAAGTTGGTTATAATAATATAATTTGATAAAGATGTTCTGAAAGTGTTCGAAAACTAATTATTTTTCAAATGCATATATGCAATGGTAGAATTGTAATTTAGCGTGTTGAAAAGTCCATTTTTGTCTATAAACTTAACGCGGGTTTTTTCTCGACACTTCAATTTAATCAAAAGTTATTGTGTTTAAATCGCATTTATTTTTACTTTTTTGCTTTAAATAATGATTATTTATCCATAATTATTGTGAGAAAATTTGCTTATTTTTCTACAAATCTTTATTTTATAAGGTCGCGTTTGACCAAAAGGTAAAAAGAAATTAAGAGATAGAGAGAGAGAATGATAGATAGCTTTCCATTTATATTGAATTTTTTAAAATTTATAACAAACTTTATTCCAGGGAAACAAAAACCATTTCCAATTTAAACTGATTACTGTTTTGAACTTCCAATTGATTTCCAATTCGAAGATTATCTTCCTACATCGTAAACGAGTTAAATCTCTAATAAGAAATAAAATCTCTTTTCAATTTTTTCATTCCTATTGTGTCAGACAACCATTACTTCCTTAGTTTGATTTTTTCATAAAATGCTGTAGACTATTTTTTAATCTTGATAATCTTTCATTTTGCATCGATTAATATCTAAGCAAAATGTTCCTACATCATATTTCTCATTAATACAAAATTAAAATAATTTTACAGTTTATTAACAAATAGTATTCTGTTCTTAAGAAAAATATCTACTTTTAAGAAGAAAAAAATTGAAGGAAAAAAACGACGTTTGGTGAGCGAAGCGAGCAGGAGGCGGAGTCTCCAAGTAATATCTAAAATTATAAATTCGTACAACTAAGAAAATTATCTAAATTTGAATTTTTGTTAAAACTTGATCAAATCTGTCATAATAAGGGTTTAGTGTGCAGTGCGCAAGGTTAGTAAGACCACACGCATCAAAGTTTTATTTTATATAAATGTAATGTAACTTTTTTATTCCAATGCCCACCTGTGTTAACATCCGACAATTCAGGCATTTACAGGACAATTTTGTTGACCTCTCTTTCAGGGGCACCATATTAGTTGGGCCAATATCGCCCCCACGGTGAGGACAGATAGTACAGGGAAGGAAAGAACACCCATGCCTTGCCCATGATTCGAACCCAAAACCTTTCTGATGTAAGGACAGTTCCCTGCCCCCTACACAGGCCAATGTAATGTAACTGATGTTCTATATATTTGGGCATTGATGAAATAATGAATGTAAATATTTTTCCTCAATAATAATGTATTTAATAACTAGAGTCAATTAAACTTACAACTATAAAATAACATGTAAATAGCTGTAAATATTAAATGCTATAGTGTCGTCTATTTCCTTTGTATTCATTAATCCAAAATCGCATACTCTAGGAGCACTAAGAAGGTACCTTCCATTCCAAGTGTACAACAAGTTAACTAAACTAAACTCAGTGGCGCAACAGCCCATACAGGGCCAAGGCCTACTGTACCCATCTCAGTTTTCATCACCTTGGGTTCTGGGGTGCAGGAACGGATGTTCCGGTCAGGTGGTCAGCCGAACGCGGAACCCCCACTGTTTACATTTACAACAAGTTAACTAATAAAAACAATATAACTCTTTTCATGCTATCTGTTTTATCCAGAGTTCCTATACAATAGCCGAGAATAAAAATAACTAACAGCTTCCAATCTTTTCAAGGTTTACATTGCATACACTATTGCATTTTCTACATTCCACACTCCATTTATTTCAGAACATACAATGGAACAATAAATGACTAAATGTTGCGCATCTGATTGATCTATCAAACTTATTGTAACTCAAAATAACAATTAAGCGCATTAAAACATTCCAATAGTTCAGTTGTATAATATTAATGTTTGGGATACCATTTGATAAAGCGCAAATTAAACTATTAAACTTGAAATCATTCAGGAAACCATACATAGTTACTTCGAGTAAAGCACTCTGTCGCAGCTAAATTTCCGTTTCCCAGGAAACCGCATTATATTGAATATTCGATTCGGTTTATCTCTGTTTGCAAGTAGCATGTGGAATAAAGGAAATTTAAACAGACTATTAATAAACGGAATAAATTATACATATGGTCTGTTTACAAAAGGTATAGACCATGTAAGTTGAATGTTAATAAATGAAAATCTGAAAAGATGCCACATTTGTATATAAGTAGTGTGAAAATTTTGAACATTTTGAGAAGAAAAATCTGAAAATAGATTTTTTTTGTCACTCTATAATCAGACTATTCGCCACAATTGGGTACCTGCAACTCGAGAAGAAGAAGACCGCTGAAATCAGCTGGTTGTGCGTAAATAACGCAGGGTGAATCTGGGTTTACTATCACACTGAATCAATTTTTGGATTAGATTAATTTGGGTACCTATAAGAAACTCCATGCGAGGGTATCGAAACTAGTTGACTGATGAATTGTGAAATCTATTTATGCCACAATTTTTCAATTGGCATTTGTTTATGCATAAACAGAAACTACACAGCTGTGGTTACTCAGGGGCTAGATAGTTCGCCTCCCAATGAGGTGACGTATGTTCGACTACCAGAGTTGGCTGGTACATAAAAATTCTGCTTCCGGCTCTGATAGACTACAGTGATAACTTAAAATATTTTCAGTGGTAGATGGATCATGTATTAGAATCCCCCATAATATATATGCATTCTCTTCATTTTTTTTTCATTTATTTATTGTTGAACAATTTATTGGTTACAATTCCATAAGGTTAGTTTAGTGCCACGCCAACTCTTAAGACAATCGCCAAAAAAACGATTTAGTAGTTCAATGATAGTTTAACATATTATTAAAAGTATGTTAAATAAATAATATAATATTAAAAAAGCAATAAAATAAATTAAATAATATTAAAAAGTAATATAATAAATAAAATAATATCACAAAATAATGCAATAAATTAAATATTAAAAAAATTGTTTATTTTTATTCCTTTGGACACTTTAATTTTTGTAAAAACATCAAAATGGAGCACTGAATTAATTCAATAGTACTTTCTACGGGCTTTTCCGTGGCGCTGATACAAGTAACGCCTTAGAGCTAAAATCTCTTGAAACCTCGTCTTGACATTGTTTGGACCTCCTGTATTATAGACTCCTATGCACAAATAACGAATGAAAAAAATAACGAATTCTTTAGTTATAGTCACGTGACTTTCCGTAGAACTCATTCCAGCAAAATGACGTATGCTCTTAAGCAACTCGTTTGCAATACGTATTTGTTAGCGTTAATAGAAAGATGCAACTCGCTTAGCAGTTTATAAAAATATCTAAGCAATGCATATTAACTTCATCGCTAATTTCTTACACCTAATTCTTTTTTTTTCTTTTTTGATGTAGATTAGTTTTCAAAGTTTGAAATCGTTTGGAACTTTTATTTGGCAACATGGAATTATCGTCATAGAAACGAGCTCTGGATTTGAAAAATTATACTCATTTCGAATCATATCAACTGTGATACGATGCAACGCTGTTCACAAATCAGCGAGAAGTGAAATGACCGCATCATTTTAACGTTTTGCAAACTTCGTGATTTGAAAAACTGCGTGGCGCCAAAAACGGTATCGTGTGTTTATAAATAAAAAAGAGTAACTCGTTGTTTGGTAATATTTATTCAAACATTTTCGGAAGTCTGAATCTACGGTCACATCCTGAGATTGTATGGTTTAAACTCTTCTTGGCACCAAATTTTCAGCTTTTTTAAGAAATATGTCAACATTTGACCAATCTCACATTTTAGATATGTATGGAACGTTTTTAGAATATTAATGAAAAATAATACCTATTATCTTCTAATTTTTCCTTATACATTATTATTATTACCGTATATTTTCAGTGATAGGAGCAATTTAAGTAATGCCAGTAGCCAGCAGTATCTTGAAGTTGGATCAAATACTTTTATTGGAACAAAAGATGGAATAAAATATGCACTCTTACCAACAGCTGACAACAAATTAAAACTTTGTGAAGTTATAGCTGATGCAGATACAAATGTATCAACTTCATTGTAAGTATTGCTCTAATCGTTAAGCTTAATAAAAGGTGTCTAATTTATATTTGAAATATGCTATTTGTATGCCATTTATGTATAATATTAACAATTTTTTAATATTATTTAAATATTTTTTTATTTTATTAGAATGTAGACTCGCTGTGGAATATACTAAGTTACATGATTATGGCATTGTACTAACTGATTATAGTATTATAGTATTAGTCCGATTTTACGTTAAAATTTCATGCAATAAAAGAATCTCCGTCTTTTATCTCTGTTATTAAATATTGCCAAATTGATGAAATTGATTGATGATGTCAATGTATGGTAAAAACAAAAATATACAAACAAAAATATGAAAAAATTAGGTAAAAAAAAAACAAGGTTGATAAAAGTAGAAAAACTTTTTGCCTGTAAATACGTACAAAAAATTTTTTTATTGTTTGAAGAATCTTCTATGTTATCTAGAATACCTGCAAGCGAATTCAACAATTATGAAACATTTTGATTTCACTAAAAAAAACACTACTGTATAAACTACCAGACTATAGCATTTATAGTGTTTCTGGCTCTATGAAAACACCAAAAAACGCTGTAATTTTTACCAAAGTGCTCTGATAGTTATTTTAATAAAATTAACAACAAAATAAAGTTTTATAATCCATGATTAAATTTGGTAGATGTAAAAAAATTTAGTAATTTTACCATGATAATTTATAACATGGCATTAAGACCATTTCAATTAAATTAAAACTACTTTTCAGTTTTGTATTTTTCACTAAATGTGTACTAATAAGAGCAATAATTTTCCGTCAAATGAAAGACTTAAATCTTAAATACCTTATATTTTGGCTTTATTAACCAGAATTATGTTTTTTTTTCTTTACCGGAATTGTCATTACTATACAGTATGGTAATTTTACCAGAAATTTTTTCTCCGTACAGAAAATAATCTAAGTAAACTATATTTTTTCTGGTTCTATACCATAATCTTAAATAATTTCTTAGCAGTGCTAATGCTCTGTTGACAGATAAATTGCTTACGTAAAAAAAGTAATTCAGTTTATTTTAAATTTAAAAAAACAAAAACCTTTAAGCTTGGTTCTAAATTTTTTTTTCCATTAAGAATTCAGAACAAATTAAATTTTGATTTATTTTACAAAGAAATTTTTACTAAAACGCTTCGATAATTATTTTAGTGAAATTAACAACAAAATAAGGTTTTATAATCTATGAATAAATTTGGTAGATACAGCAAAATTTAGTAATTTTATCATGATACCTTAAAACATGGCATTAAGATCATTTCAATTAAATTAAAATTATTTTTCAGTTTTGCATTTTTCACTAAATGTGTAGTAATAAGAGCAATAATTTTCAGTAAAATGAAAGACTTAAATCTTAAATACCTTATATTTTGGCCTTATTAACCAGAATTATGCTTTTTTTTTCTCTACCGGAATTGTCATTACTATACAGTATGGTAATTTTACCAGAAATTTTTCTCCGTACAGAAGATAATCGAAGTACACTATTTTCTTTCTGGTTCTATACCATGGTCTTAAATAATTTTTAGTGGTACTTATGCTCTATTAACAGATAAATTGCTTACGTAAAAATAGTATTTCAGTCGATTTTAAATTTAGAAGAAAAAAAAACTTTATGCTTAGTTCTAAATTTTTTTTTTTTTCTATTAAGAATTCAAAACAAATTAAAGTTTGATTTATTTTACAAAGAAGTGCGAATTTAGAGAAATAATGCAAATTATTGTTCAAAATAAGGGAAATATATCTAAGATCTTTATAAGCAAATGTGTTTTAACTACTCCGAACCAAATTTTGTAAAAAATTTTAGAAATTTTTAACGAAATTTCAATATTGTATTCCTTATTAAAATATTATAAATAGAATTACATTAATAAAATATTTTATAGTTTAACATACGTATTTTAGCCATTGAGATGCGTATTATGTTTGATTCTATTTACATTTTAGTAACTCCTGGTCTCCTTCATTCCAAAGTGTAGTCGATGTTGAAGACAATTTAACATCCTTTATAAATCCACAAAAGAAGGTTTGCATATTTCACCCTAAATATTTAATATAGTGTTTAATTTAATGCAGCATTATTACTTCTTTCCATTATATATCGAATAACATATATAATAACATTAGTCATAAACACGATCTTTTATAGAAAAAAAAAATAACCCATATGCTTTTAATTAATTTTTTTTTGTCTATTAGACGCTTCATTTAATGGTTGATTAATCACTTTGCTCTTTCAATGGTTGGCAGATTTATTGTTACTCTCGTTCGATGGTTTGTGTTGATTTTCTCTAAGACTTATTCTACGTTTAGTTAAAAAAGACCGACATCATTTTCGTACATATCCCATTTTTAAAGATGTCTGAGATGACGTCACTTCATTTACTCTTCCACTAGCAATCCAACAATGATCTATCAGGTAGATTGCAACCAATAGGATCATGTTTCTATTGCGATGGGAATATGTATCACCCAATAGGAATAATGCAAACAGCTAGTTGCCTTTCACAACCACAAAATTAGAGCTATTGATTGATTTATTCCACTCAAGGATGTAGTTCGTCCTCTGGCTTGAACATCTCTATGAAGATATCATTTTCAAAGCAAAACCGACGTATTCATCGATATAAAACCATTTAGACATTTTAATGTATTGTTATTAATTGCTTAAAACTTTGATTGCAATCTAATCGAGATCACTTCAAATTAGGATTTCCCGTTATTCTGTTGGAGTCGTATATAACAATGATTTACATTCAGTGATACTTGTGATCGTCAGATAATAATTTCTAGTAATCATATTGCTTGTAATTGTATAGAATGGTTACTCGCCATCAATATTACTAATGATCATGATTGTTAATAATCATGTATTTTGATTGCTTACAATCATATTTACCTATAACTGTATCTTAATATAAATTATTATGCTTACTTGTATTTGCCGATTATTTCTTGAAATAAAACTTACGTATAATTATTTCCTCAATCCACTGATGGTTTATCAAATGGGTAAAATTGGGGGAGTGTTTCTCTCCTATACATTATCCCCTATTTAGTAACATAGAAAAACCGGTTTTGCTATGCAGGAAAGACTGTCAGCTAAAATACGACTTTTTATGTGCAGCACAGTCAGTGGTTTAAATCGACTTAATTTTTGGAAGACTCTAGTATCTAGCTGATCGTCTGTCCGATGATTAACAAAATACATTTCAGACGTAAATTGCGATGAAACTAACGGAGATAATAGCACCAAACTATAAAAAATTCCAGTAAGAATACTTTAAAAAAAATAAGACCTGCTAAATTATGTAACTTCTAGTTAAAACGTATAAAATCGAGTTTATCATTAACTTTGTTGCCAAAAATACTCGTTATTCCTTATGCATTTTGTTAGCTTTTACAGCGATTGTATTCTTTTATTTCCACTGACATACACAGACGATAAAAAAACATTAATAACAAGAAAAGGAAGGAAAATCGTTTGGGTTGCCTAGCAACCAGCCAGAGTTGTAGTTATTATGTTTACAAGAGTTGGCAGACGATTNTATTATTCAAAATAAGGGAAATATATCTAAGAATAAGCAAATGTGCTTTAACTACTTCGAACCAAATTTTGTAAAAATTTTCAGAAATTTTTAATAAAATTTCAATATTAAAATATTATAAATAGAATTACATTAATAAAATATTTTATAGTTTAACATAAATATTTTAGCCTTTGAGATACGTATTTTGATTGATTCTATTTATATTTTAGTAACTCCTGGTCTCCTTCATTCCATAGTGTAGTCGATGTTGAAGACAATTTAACATCCTTTATAAATCCACAAAAGAAGGTTTGCATCTTTTACCCTAAATATTTAATTTAGTGTTTAATTTAATGTGGCATTAACAGTCTTTAACTTAGTGTTGAATAATCCATTGTTACTTCTTCCCATATATATTGAATAGCATATATAATAACATTAGTCATAAACACGATATTTTATACAAAAAAATTAACACATATGATTTTAATTAATTTTTTTTTGTCTATTAGACGCTTCATTTAATGGTTATTTAATCGTTTTGCTCTTTCAATGGTTGGCAGATTTATTGTTAATCTCGTTAGTTGGTTTGTGTTGATTTGCTCTAATCTTATTCTACGTTTAATTAAAAAAGACCGTACATATCCCATTTTTAAAGATGTCTAAGCTGACGTCACTTCATTTACTCTTCCACTAGCAATCCACAAATGATCAATCAGTTAGATTGCAACCAATAGGATCATGTTTCTATTGGAATGGGAGTAATGTATCGCCCATTATAAATAATGCAAACAGCTAGTTGCCTTTCACAACCACAAAATTAGAGCTATTGATTGATTTATTTCACTCAAGGATGTAGTTCAGCCTCTGGCTTGGACATCTCTATAAAGACATCATTTTCAAAGCAAAACAGACGTATTCATCGATATAAAACCATTTAGACATTTTAATGAATAATAATCAATTGCTTAAAACTTTGATTACAATATAATCAAGATCACTTCAAATTAGGATTTCCCGTTATTCTGTTGGAGTCGTATATAACAAAGATTTACATTCAGTGATACCTGTGATTGTCAGATAATGATTTCTAGTAATCATATTGCTTGTAATTGTATAGAACGGTTACTCGTCATCAATATTACTAATGATCATGATTGCTAGTAATCATATATTTTGATTGCTTACAATCATATTTACCTATAACTGTATCTTAATATAAATTATTGTGCTTACTTGTATTTGCCGATTATTTCTTGAAATAAAACTTACGTATAATTATTTCCTCAATCCACTGATGGTTTATCAAATGGGTAAAATAAGGGGAATATTTCTCTCCTATACATTAACCCCTATTTAATAACATGGAAAAACCGGTTTTGCTATGCAGAAAAGACTGTCAGCTAAAATACGACTTTTTATGTGCAGAACAGTCAGTGGGTTAAATCGACTTAATTTTTGGAAGACTCTAGTATCTAGCTGATCGTGTGTCAGATGATTAACAAAATATATTTCAGGCGTAAATTGCGATGAAATTAACAAAGATAATAGCACCAAACTATAAAAAATTCCAGTGAGAATACTTTTAAAAAAATAAGACCTGCTAAATTATGTAAGTTCTAGTTAGAATCGAGTTTATCATTAACTTTGTTGCGAAAAATACTCGTTACTCCTTGTGCATTTTGTTAGCTTTTACAGCGATTGTATTCTTTTATTTCCACTGACGTACACAGACGATAAACAAAACATTAATAAAAAGAAAAAGAAGGAAAATCGTTTGGGTTGCCTAGCAACCAGCCAGAGTTCCAGTTATTATGTTTACAAAAGTTGGCAGACGATTTAAAACAATTATTTAAACTAAATGTCCATTGATGTCGCAACATCCTCCCCACCATGGTCAACCTCAAGAGGGATGACCAGCTGTCGAGTCGGTTAGCCATAGGTCGAGTTATAGTCTTTCCATCCACTCTTAACACGCATGTTCGAATTTCCCCATCACGTCCCTTAATTATGTTGGTAATTCGGGCCTTCTTCGACATGTGTCTGGGTCTGACGTCTTCTTGTAGTAGCACAAGATCTCCTACACGGATGTTGAAGGAGTTATGAATATTGCGAACTTGGCGATAAAATCGCAGTTGCAGCAGATATTCTTTGGATCATCGTTTCCAAAATATGTCCAACACGTCTTTTTGTTGTTTGTAGAGTTTCGTAAATCTTGATTGTTATTCAGAATTGTGGGTTTAGCTGTAAATTTTCTACGAGTTAGGAAATGCGCTGGTGTCAAGGCTTCCGTGTTGTCTTCCTCTTCATATACAAGGGGTCTGCTGTTAAGGGCTGCTTCTATTCCTACAAGTACTTCGGTGTTAATTAACATTTTAACTTATGTGGTGAGATTTAGTTCAACTTCAACATGTCATTTTGCTTTCATACGATCAGCTGGTTGAATATTAGCAGTCGTATACTGAAAATTGGGTCAGCGGTTCAAATGTCATGAGGGGTATGAAGGGGTATTCAAGGGATATGAAACGATCAGCTGATGCTGGCGTCGTACGTCATGTCATAGGTGTAGTATCCGTGATCCTTTTCTTAAAGTGCAAGTACCCAGCTAAATTGCATTTTTTCATGAATCGTGTCTTGGGGGTGAGACTTTACTCCAATACCAATATCAGGAGTGGAGTTTAAAAAGTTTAACTTATTTTATTTTTAAAAAATAATTGATTATCCTGCGAATATATTTCTAAAAATTTCCGTTTTTAATCCTCTGTAATTTTGCACAGGATAAATGAATTCCAGTCAATTCTTATGAATTTTTTTACAGTGCAAATTCATTTTTTAGTAGAAAGACAAGCGAAAGTCAGTTGACAATACTTCTGTGCAAATGTAAATAAAACACACTGTTAAAAATGGGGAGGCAATGTTTATCAGAATTGGGTGTTAAAAAACTCTACAAATTTTGAGTTATTTCAAATTAATGCCGAATTGAATCAAGTTAATACCGAATCGAATACACACTTTCAAGGGTGCTCCAATAAATGATAACGTTTACACCAAGCTTGGATGCTCATGAAGCTACTTTCGCCAATCTTGGCGTAGATTTGGAACAATCAGACGATAGACGCGAGACGATTCGTCTCGCACGATGTTGAATATTCTGAAGAAACAGAAATAAATTCTTATAAAAAGGTATGAATATTTTTAGTTCTTCAATAAAGTTAATGATGTTCTCATATGATGATTTACATAAATCAATCGCATTAAATAATTTTATGTTATTTCATTTCTATCCATTTCGGTTTTGTTAGGCCTTATTCTAATTAATATTAGTATTCTTTTCGTAACCTAATTCGTATTTGCATTAATCTTATTCTAAGTGTAGGTTCAATTTACGAACTAATTTCATTCTAACACTAATTGTAGTGCATATTATTAAGTTGATTCTTCTTCTTTTAAATTATTAAATAACTTAATTGACACTAATGTACATTCTTAGAAACATTCTTAGTGTCATGTTGCACTATAACAGCAAGTATTGTTCGTTCTCGGTGTGGTAGAGCACCATTTTGGTTTAAATTAGTTGCCGCCATTTTTAGTGTTAAAATATACTTAAATATTTTTTACAGTGCTGAAGAATAATGACGCGAAACATCACATATATCACATACATTTCTCATACAAGATTTTAAAATTAGAAAAATAATTTGCAGGCTACATGCATTTCTCATACAAGATTTTAAAATTAGTAAATAAATTCGCAGTGCTGTATTAAGTTCTCAACTTGCTGGAATACTTGCATCCTTTGAACTAATGCCAATAAAAAACCGAATATGGCTCTTTAACGAAATGTACAGTGTGCCAAAAATAATGGACCATTCTGAATGACTTTTGATCTAATAATTGGATTTTCGCGTTCTAGGATTCAAACATAATGGTTCAAGAAGGTGACTTCAAGTATTCTAATTAACTATTTTATTGCAGACGATATTTAAGTTACAAAATCTGAACCCAAATCATACTTTCTCTGAATAAACATAAATTTTTTTTTTACGGTTTTGGATTTTTGACCCCAAAAATAAAAGGGGGCAGCCACAGTTTGAGAAATATAGTATCCATAGTTTGACCAGGAGAGAGATCAAAAATTTGAAGCTCTTAGTGTTATTTTTACTTTTTTCGTATTTCGCCATATCTCTAGAACTTTTTAAGTGAATTTAAAAAATTTTGCTTAAAATTGCAAAATTCGTTTATCCAATTCTACCAACAAAATAAAAACAAATTTTAGTAATTATTTATTATTCTTTATCAATTTATTTAATAATAGTCATAATTTTTTTAATAGTAAGGTTGACAGTTTTTACATCATTTTAAAATATCTAATTTTACATGGTAAAATGTAAAATTTAAGCAAAATCGATTGAATAGTTCTGAGAAATCGAATTTCAAAAAAGGTCAAGTATTTAAAACACGATTTCTCAAAATCTATTCAACCGATTTCCCTCAAATTTTTTATTATGCCATGTAAAATGAGGTACTTTAAAATTATATAAAAATTGTATACCTTATACATCAAAAAATTTTCGACTATATTTAAATGAAATATTGAAATAAAATAGATATTTACTAACATCTATTTTCTGCATGGAATTATCTTTGTATAAACGAATTTTATACATTAGTGCAAATTTTTTTAATTCGCTTAAAAAATTCGATGTAGGGTTAAATACGCGAAAAGTAAAATTGTCATTATGAGGTCCAAACTTAGGACTGCTCTTCCAACCAAATTATGGGGACCATATTTCCTAAATTTTGGCTACCAAATTTTGGTATTTTAGGGATGAGAAATCTGAATCCTTGGGGAAAAATACATGTTCATTCAGAGTAAATAGGTTGCGTCTGATTTCTTAAATATCACCTGCACTAATTAATTAGCATAACTGATGGCACCCCCTCGAACTATTAAGACCTAGAACGCGAAGATCCGATCGTTAGATCAAATGTTATACAAGGCTGGTAAGTTCTTTTTCTTTTTTACCCATTGTAAATATACGGCGCTCAATAAATTTTAATATTCTGTGCAACACCGTTAGATATATTTTATTTCAGATCTTTTGTGTTTCAGTTAATAACTCTGAGAAAAGAAGCCACGCCCTGTAGAGGTCAAGGAGATGAGAGTGGGAATTCGATTATATCAACTCCTGATTCCACATCCCGTTACAAGAACTTCGGAAATGACATTCTGGAAAAAAGCTCAGAACTGCTGGATGAAAATCAATATAAACTAGATGACACCACGCAACTTACGTATACTACTTTACTTTCAAAGCAAGATCAAAAATTAGACACCTTGGTATTAACTCAATTTTTTTCAATCATTTAGATAAGAAATGATGTTGCTAGAAAAAGAAAATATAGTATATATTTTAAAATTTTAGCAAATGTCCTGAGAAAAAAAGTGTAGTCAAAACTACCAGAATATGGTTAAAATTACCTGGATCTACTAGAACACCTATAAGTTCGGTGATTGTTACCGAGCGCTTTGGTATTGATTTTGAAATGATTAACAACAAAATATGATTTTATAATCTGTGACAAAATTTGGTAAATGTGGTTAAATTTGACAATTTTATCATCTGTCTTTAGATTCTTTATGACAGAAGATAAAATCCATTTAGTCTGTTAAATTTGGTAATGATTTTGGCAAAATTAACAATAAAATATGATAGTTAAAACAATATATTCAAATGCGTTAGCAATTTTTTCTAATTGGAGGTAATAGATATAATGGGTCAAAATTTTAATTTCTGTTGGTAAATTATTAAGTAATTTTCCTCGATCGCAAGATTTTCTAGTAGATTGACAAAATTAATTTTTACGTTTAGCACTATTTACAAAGTTTAACTGTCCAATAACTTTGAGCTATCCAGTTTAGAATGTACTAAATTTTATTTATCGATGTATTAAAATGCAAAATGCATTATGCACCAAAATATGATATCAAATCAATTAAACATAAAAAATAAGTTAATAGAATAAAATTTATTTAGTAGAATGTGTTCAGGCTCCGCTGAAAAGTACCGAATTTCTCTGTTAATTTTTTCATGTAAATATTGAAGTAATTTATTAAGAATCCGACAACTTATAAAAAAGCAATTTACACTGCTATATGTAGATTGTTTCCTAACTGCTGGCCTTACATTAATTTTATTATTAGTTTATAGTTTGAAATTTAATTAAAACTGCGAACATCAAGGATCACAAATATGTATTCAAGTGAACACTTAATAAAAACGCTCTTAAAATCTTACGAATCACTATGGAGAACCAGGATTAAAATATCAAAACTTGTTTTATTTTTGAAGGAAACAGAAATGAGTTGAAAGGCTGTTGCTAGAAATCGTTGAAAGTTTCATCAGGCAATCTACTTTCTGCACCTTATTGCTTCGACTATTGCATTTTGGTTGCTCTATAATTTTCGACCCTAAACCACAGTAGCTCAGAGGATAGATAGAGCATTAGCTTCTCAACGGAGGTGAGCCCAGGTTCGTATTGCAGCTGCGGCTTGTTCAGCTCCCGGCTCGCACTGACCACAGTGCTGAAGTAAAATATTCTCAATGGTCCACTGATCATGGGTTTAAAATCCCCTTGCCATGGGGCTGACAGTTATAAGTTTTCGTGATTTTCTTCTCCATGTAACTCAAATGTAGGTTAGTTCCATCAAAAGTCCTCAACGAAAGCTAGTTTTTCCCAACACTTGATCCAAGAGTTCCCTTGTCTTCTGGATTGGGCTCGAAATTACAAGGCTGCGGAGTTTAGCATTGATAATCGTAAATTCAGGGTCGGCTGTTCTCCACCGGTTATTAAATAAAATGAAATAGAATTTTTGACCCTTAATGTGCATATTTTTTTCTTAATTTCATTTTGGGGGAGAATTTGAAAATACATATTAAGGCTGGTAATTTCAGATCACCGATAATTCACATTCCCAAAAACGATATTGTGTGGGACGCATTTTTCGTCCATAAGTTAGAAAAACTTTAGCAAATATTTTTTTTCAATGCCCACCAGGATAATGACCTAGGTCATACAGGCACCTGAAGGGCAGATTTGTTGGCCTCTCTTTCAGGGGCACCATATTAGGTGAACCAACGTTACTCCCACAGTAAGGACAGATAGTACAGAGAAGGAAAGAATATCAATGCCTTACCTGGGATTCGAACCTAGAACCTTTCTGATGCAAGGGCAGTTCCCTAACCCCTATACAGGCACTTTAGCAAATATTAATTACATAATAACCTTTTACAAATGTTTTAAGGAGTGAAGTTCAAATTATTCTCATTTTGAACCACAATAATTTCTCTTTCAGGATTCTGTCAGCTACTCCATACCAATAACTTATTTTCAAGTTCCACAGCCTGTACAGTCTCCCGTAATATCCAAGTCAATAAGGGATATGAAAGCAAATTTAAAAGCACCACAGTTGCCTATAAATAAAGCAATCCCATATCCTCAGTGTTCTCCTATTCCGATTTCAAGAGGACGAGGGCATAGACAACGCAGATCGAGACAAACTCTTTATCAATACCGGGTACGTTTAAATAATTTATCTGACATTTTTTTATTCTCTCTATTTCTTTTATTGCCATTGTCAAACTTTAGGTTTTAACTCTTAGACGCAGAATTTTTATTAAACTTATAAATAGGTCAAAAATGAAAAATTTTACATTATTTTAATAATTCATTGTCATGAAATACACCGTAAGACACCGGTGTATTTTTCCGCGTAAAAGGTAAAATTTCAAAAAATGCCTCAATTTCACACAATAATTTTTCAAAATTTCAGTTTTTTACATCTAAGCGAAACAATTATCCATCACTAAAATGTCTTTAATTTACTGAATTAATAATTGATAAATAAATTTTTGAATATGCATAAGAATTTTTTTTCCGAACTAGTCTTCATTTTTTGGATTTTATATTTTAGTACAAATATAAATCAGGTAATATAACATATTCTTAGTAACTATTAGACTGTTTTATATAATTAAAAATTACTAAAATATATTTTTGCTAGTAATTACAGCATTAAAATATATATATAAAAGGGACAACGGTGTTCTATCTGCGCAACCTTTTTTATTGCTAAAGATGGTAATGTGCTATCAAAACCATTTTTCAAAGAATTTCATTAAAGTGAATGCCTTTATCTTGCTCCGAGAATTTAAAATTTTAAAGAATCTTATTTGAATCTAAAAAGCCGATTGCTTTATTGACAGAATAAATATCTCATATAAGTATGAATCAATATCCAATATCCTTCCTTTTTTCCATTTAATGCAAAATTACTTTCGTGAAAATAGGCTTTAAATAGGCCTATTTTAATTCCATTATTTACGATAAAACAGCATTTCTCAGCCTATTTTAATGGAATTAAAATATGTTATAAATATTTTATAAATTGATATTTATGAAAGTACATATATACCTTTCATTGATATTTATAAAATAACTCATTTTAAAAATATTTCCTTTCTTGTTAATAATTTAAATGTCAACTAATTTAGAAAGTCTCAAAAGCATATTTTAAACAGTTGTTGTATGTTATAAAATAAAATTCTAATGGTATATTTGAAACCCTTAGGGCCCTTTAATGCATTCGACTCCTACTTCTACATCGAGCTCTAGTTTGAATGATAATTCTCCAATGTCATCTCTGGATTCCACTTCAAATTCATCAATTAGTTCGTGTAATGAGAGTCAACCTTCACTGGATTATCCAAGGTGATATCTTATTCAGCTGCAATATGCGAAATGAGGACGCTTTTCTCGTTAGTAGGCAGCTATTAAGTACATCGAAATTCAATTTAACAAAAGCGAATAGTCTTGTGTATAATCCTTAGTGAGAATAGTATGCGGGATGCGATCAAATATACAATAGTTAAACTCAACTATATTGAATGAATTTTAGTTAAAATTCATAAAAGTTATTAGACATATAATAATCACTCTTTTGAAACTATAACTTGAGAGACTTGTTCTCTTTTTTCTTTACATTTCGCATTTAGAAAGAAACTTCTCGTAAAATTGTCGAACTGTATGGTAATAACGTTTATTATTTATATAAAAAAAATTCTGGCAATAGAAAAAATCTATACGATATTCGAAGCATTCATTTGGTAATTCTTCCGTTTATAATGTAACAGTTTTCCGGAAACTCTGGTTTTCAAAATTAAAGTTTTTATTACCACAGATTTAAATGAAAATACAAAACTGAAAAGTAAATTTAACCTTATAAATTTTTACACTTTAAGGTATCATGGAAAAATTACCACATTTTACCACACTTGCAAAATTTTATCACATATTATAAAACCATATTTCATAATCAATTTTACCAAAATCATTACCAAAGCAAAAATTAATAAGATTTTTGGCACTACCCTGGAGCCAGAAACATGGTAAATTTTACCATATTCCGGAAGTTCTGATCATACTTTTTTTCTCAGCGTAATGTACGCACAATATTGTGCAAATAAAAATTGCAACAAGATAGTTTATAATTTATTTATTTAACTATTTTTATATTAAAATGCTTGGATGCCGAAATAACAGACCGAAAAAATATGACTTTTGGTTTTTCTCAGTACGCGGCGCTGTAAGTTTAGTTCCTAAAGTGTAGTGTGATAAATTCAATTCTCACAATGCGCGATGACTTTATTCAGCACATATAAATATTCCGTCTTATGTTTATTTCCGATTATTATCCGATCATTAGATTAATAGTTATTCACTGTGGTCCATTTTTTTTGGTGCACTGTACATCGAAAAAGGTCAGTTTTCACATTATTTATAGATGCCCTACCGACCCCTCTTAAAAATAAATTATTAGTCATTTATCGCAGCATTTTAAGTAAATTTAAATAATATTTTTGCTTAACGTTGTTATAATATATCTAAATTATAACGTAATATCAAAATTTTAGCAAGAATATGTAATATGTCTTTTTTCACTACTGCTTCTATACACTTTTCTGGTCTAATGGCAAATTTTAAAACAAAACGGAGGTATCTCTCTTATTGTTTACTTTATTGATTTTCATTATTTTACAGAGTTCCAAACAACACTCCAAATTCAGAAGAAATAGGTTTAGATTATAAGAAAAAAGTTTTCGATATTCAATGGATACCTCACATACAAAGCCAAATTGCAGATTTTGAACAGATTGATCCACGAGAAATGCACAATGAAAAGGAGAGGAAAAGACGGTGAGAGTTGAGTCAATAAACAGAAATATTCATTGATTGCTATTAAATAGTTGAGTGGTGGAAGCTTTTAAGTGACATTTGTATGAATTGGCTTTAAAGTTTTTTCCTTTGCAAGCTTCATAGTAGACATATTTATTAACTTCTAACACTCAGCATCAGACTAGTGCATAAACGTAATTTTTGGCAAGATTTTCAAACTTGAGATTATTATAAATTTTAGAATTGTTGTACTCTTAGCTTTCTAAAAATATTTTTTTTGTTAGTACTCTAATAATATACAAAGTTATAGCAGTTTCAGTGGGAAATGATAACAGTGGATAGACCAATTATTTCCGTAGCGTTTATCTCGAAATAATTTCTTTTACATTTCACACCACATTAAACACGATGTCTCATGTTGTTTTTGAACAATACCCTAAGAGAAAAAAGAAGAATTTCATTTGGTATGCATATTTTTTCGCAAGAAAGCGGAATTTTTTTTAAAAATTGCTTTTTTAACTACTTTGATCCCTAACTCAGTAGTATACACACTTGCTTTTAACGTAATAGTTCAAACCATAGTTGATAGCCTTCTAAATAAAATCCTCAAAGGTTTTTTATTTTTTTGTTTTAGGTGATTGGCCTTTATTCCCAGTGTTTAGCATATATGCAAAAAATATGCTTTATTTTTTACCAAAAAAATGGCCATGTAAAAAGAAAATAATAATAATAATGATCATTTTTTTGCTAGTCAAGTTTTCACGCATTATAAAATAAATAAACAAGTTTCTTAAAATTTTATACTAATATTTAAAAATAAAATTTGTCGAAGCTAGTCGGATACCTTAAATAACTAATGGATGGCATCGCTATCGCTAAAGCTAAATCGAGCAAACTAAACGCGCTTTAAAATTTAGACTAAAGAAACACGATAGATATGCGCGTTATCAAGAATTTGAGAAATCTTCACTTGCTTTTCCTTGTTGGAATGTTGAGCATATATTCAATCTCTACAATACTAAAATTATTTCCACCCTAATTACACCAGATCATACTGATGTCCTGGAATCTTGAATGCTGATTCCCTTGTTAAAATCATTATTTCATTTCCTAGTTTTCATAACGAATGGAAATGCATTTTACCCTGATTTGCTTTTCGGCCAATGTGATTTTTTTCTCTTTTGGCTTCTGTGGTTTTGCTAATTTTTGCTTTTCACCTTTATTTTTCCATTCTTTGTTGACAACTTTACGTTTTTCTTATTTCAAATCATTTTTGTTTCTTTATATTCACGTCTGATACGTCTTGAAAATGGACGCTTATGTGTTGAACTGCTAGAAGTGTGTTACTTCAAATCATTACGAAGTTATTTCAAATCGTTTTCAAAGCGTCTGTCGTTTTTCAAGACACTGCGTAAACTATGATGCCATTTATCTTTAGAATACAAACAAGAAATATATAATTTTTTTTAAGTTTTATTTAAAAGATCTCTTAAAGAAACTAATAGATTCTTTCAAATTTTATGAAAATATATAGTGTTTTTAATTTTATACAAGTGATTTGGATTCCAGGTTTGGAACGCAGCTTAAATTAGTTTCGAATGATAAGAATTTTGAATCATAGGTAAATGGCATAGGTAGATGGGCATTTTAAAACTATTGAGTTCGAAAAGTGGTCGGTAAAAAAAGAGTCTAAGGAGAAAGTCTTAAATGACATGTGGATAAATGACTTTGTTCCCAGGTTATAATTTTCTAGGCGCAGAAGTACAATTTGCAACTCGACAAAATGCAAATGATTGCAGCAATTGCCAACTTGCCTCTGTAATCAAGATAGCTTGTAAACTTTTTTCCAGAATTACAGAATTATAATTACAATTAAATATGGATATAATCATAGTTTCTTAAAATTGTTTTCGAATTGTAGCCATAATTATGATCTCAATTTTTATGGTAAATTATAAACGCTTGTAATCATGATGAAAATAACATTCGTTTATTTTAATAATTTTTCGCAGAAGAGTATTATTTCTTGTAGTCAATTAAATTATATTCAACTTTTGTATATCATTGCCTTCCTAGAAAAATTATAAAAAAATCCGGAACAAATTACGGTATAAACTCACTTTGGTCGCATCATTCTCGAAAAATCCATTTTTACCATAAATTATTATAACGCCACTTAATCGGTGATATTATTTAATTGGAGTGATTCAGGGATTTTACTGTTATTATTGCCGTAAAAATTTTGGTAAATTAGATTTTTTGTTCAGCAACATGTTTCGGGAAAAGGTACCGGCACTTTGAGTACCGTTATTTTTTACCGGAAAATGATCCAGAATTTTTTGCAGTATGGGTACGCAAGCTAAGATTAATCCCTACTTACACACTGGCAACTTTCCAAAATTACAGAAGTAGTCATCCAAAATATTGACAATCTGAACTTATATAGTATATTATGCCGATCATTAACTACATTGACTATATATAATATATTATGGCAATAATTTCCCCTACATGTACCTATTAAGCACATTCACTATTATGGTTTTATGATATCAATAATTTTCAAGTAATTTTATATCTTCTAAACTGAATTCTAATAATTAGTCTAGTTAGAATTACACTTAAAGATTTCAAGAACATCGGTTTTCTCTGCAGAAATCCCTAAAAGCATTTGATCAAAAGATGCTCGATATTTCCCTTCGTTGCTCTATTTAGAAAGCGCAAGTTATTCAATGAGAAATTAGTTCAAGTAGGAAAACTTTCAATACAGCTATGCAATATAATTATAATAGAGAGTTGCTTTGCATTCCTATCCAGATTTTAACTATATACGAAAATTGATTTCAATTCAATTAAACATGGAGTTTTATTCCAGTTTAGTTATTCTACGTTTATTTCTTGCATATTGTTCAAACTCATGAAAGTGTTTTCTATTAAAGGTTACGTATCAAAACTGCCTGTCACATCATGAAAAATCTATTGCCAGGTGTATACCACAAAACTGATAATGCAACTGTATTTGAGAATGCCGTTCATTTCATATCATTCATGAGAGAATCAGTGATGGCTAACACTTTAGGAGGAACTGATTATGACATGGTATGTATTGGAAAGATATGAAATGCTTTAACAACTCCAAATTCAGCATAAATATTTGAAGTAATGATTATATAATGAATATAAAATGTAAAGTGTCATAATAATATTTTAATTAATTAACATTCATAAGAGAATCATTGATGGCTAATAATTAAGACGAACTGACTATGACATTGTATGTACTGAAAAGATCCACTATGTTTTTATAACTCCGAAATACGCATTAAGAATTGATACTTTTATAATCAAATACTTAAATTAATTAAAAAATGAATGACAATAATATTTCAATTATAGTTCAATATTTCAATTAATTAACATTCATGACGGAATCAGTGATGACTAATAATTAGGAGGAACTGATTATGACATGGTAGGTATTGGAAAGATATGCGATGCTTTTACAACTCCACGTTTAAATAATACTTATACAATTAGAAATAATGCTTATATATCGATACTTATATAATAAACTAAATAAAGGAATTAAAAACTGAAGTGGCATAATGATATTTCAATTAACTGGAACCTATAAAAAATATTTCATAACAATTCTGGAAAAAGATGACGATTTCTCACTTTCACAAATGTATGAAGGCAAACTAAAAAAAAGCTAAATAAATTATACAAAAACTGAAATGTCAACCGTAGAATAAAATGTGAATTAAATTTAAATTATAAAGAAGCACTTAGCTATTTTGTAAAAATTAAATAATAATTCAAAAACTTGAAAAGCATAAGCGATTTATATTGATATTAGAAAAAAGCTTAATTGGTTATTTAAAAAACTGAACTGTCAATAATAAAAACTAATTTAAATACAATGAAACTATGAATACATGTTCCAGAAAAGCACATTAATTTTTAACTTCAAATGTGTTCAAAGACTAAAGTTTTGTTAAACTTNCTATCTGGCGGGAAATTGACTATCGACTTGATATTCTCCGTGCGACGAAGGGAGCACACGTGGAAGTTCATTGACCAGGATCATGAAACTTTTTGAGTCTATCTAACCATTTATGTTATTAATTTTAATCAATCTTTATTATTTTATGAGTTATTAAACATCAAAATGGGTCCGGGACTTTATAAACACCCTGTATATTATGCCGATCATTTCCCCTACATGCACATTTTAACTACATTGACTATACATAATATATTAGGCAATCATTTCCCCTACATGCACCTATTAACTACATTGACTATTATGCTTTTATGATATCAATAATTTTCCAGTAATTTTATATCTTCTAAACTGAATTCTAATAATAAGTCTAGTTAGAATTATACTTAAAGATTTCAAGAACATCGGTTTTCTCTGCAAAAATCCCTAAAAGCATTTGATTAAAAGATGTTCGATATTTCCCTTCGTTGCTCTATTTAGAAAGTGCAAGTTGTTCAATCAAAAATTTGTTGAAGTAGGAAAGCTTTCAATACAGCTATCCCATATAATTATAGAAGAGAGCTATTTTGTATTCCTATCCAGATTCTAACTATAATACACGAAAATTGTTTTCAATTCAATTAAACATGGAGTTTTATTCCAGTTTAGTTATTATACGTTCATTTCATGCATATTGTTCAAACTCATGAAAGTGTTTTCTATTATTAAAGGTTACGAATCAAAACTGCCTGTCACATCATGAAGAATCTATTGCCAGGTGTATACCACAAAACTGATAATGCAACTGTATTTGAGAATGCCGTTCATTTCATATCATTCATGAGAGAATCAGTGATGTCTAACACTTTGGGAGGAACTGATTATGACATGGTATGTATTGGAATGAAATGAAATGCTTTTACAACTCCAAAATCAGCATAAAGATTTGAAGTGATGATTATATAATGAATATAAAATGTAAAGTGTCATAATAACATTTCAATTAATTAACATTCATAAGAGAATCATTGATGGCTAATAA